GGTCTGCCTCCCGGACACCTGGGCCCCTCCCGCCCCCAGGAGGCAGCGGGAGGCAGGTCGGAGACGCTTTATTAGCGCCCTGCCGCGACCCCCCCGCCCCGGCCCCGGCTCCGACGGGGRCCCCGGCGGCTCCACGCGGTTCCAGTCCAGGTGCCCCCGCTCTAGGGTGCGGAGGGGGGGCCTGCGGGCGGCGGCGGGGCCGGCCTGGCAGAGGAGAGAGGCAGGCAGTGATGAGGAGGGGGAGCAGGCACCCCCGCAGCCCCCAGCCTCGACCCTTCGCAGTTCCCCCCCCAAAGACCCCCACCCTGGAGCCCTGCAGACCCCTAACCATGCCCGCCCTGGCTCCCCCCCTCCACACGCCCTCAGCATCTCCCCCTGCCCCTCAGCACCCTGCACGCACCTGGAAGGAACCACCGCGGCTTGGGCAGGGGGCAGAGGGTCCGAGGGCAGCGGCCGGCGCGGCGGCGGGGGCTTTTCTGGCCCGGGAGGCTGCGGAGAAGCAGAGGCGTCAAGGGGCTCCGTGGCAGGGGCGCGTGGGGCTTGCGGCCCCGCCTCGGCGCGGCGGTTACCTGGGCGCCGCGCAGCACCGGGTCCGCGGGCAGCGGGCGCGCTGGGGGGGGCGGCCGGGCCGCGGGGGCCGCCTGGGCGGAGAGAGCCGGTGTGGGGGGCAGTGAGCGCCGTGGGGACCCCCAGCAATGGGGGGGTGAGGACGGCCATGCAGCAGCCGGGGGAGCGTGGGCAGGAGGTGCCCCCCTCTCCTCTCCCATCCCGGGGGTTTACCTGGGAGCTCGCGGGAAGAGGGTCCGGCGGGAGAGGCCGGGAGGGCGGATGGGGCCTGTAGGAGGCCGGGGCGGGTGGCTGCAGAGAGAGGGAAAGGCGGCCGGAGAGGGGGCGCGTGCAGCAGCCGGGGGGGCTCGTGCAGGCCATGCAGCATGCGGAGACCCCCCAAGCAGAGACCCCCCCCCAGCAGCCACTGGCAGACCCCGCTCAGAGAGGCACAGCCAGCAGCAGTCACAACGTGCAGGGACGCGGCGGGGCTACGGAGAGGGGACAATCAGCCCCCCTGGGCGAGGTGGGCATGGATGAGCCTCCATGGTCCAGGCTGGCGCCAGGGAGCCCAGGGGACCCAGTGTCGGAGCATCCGGAGGGATGCAGGACACGGGAMGGATGCTGGGAGCAGCTCCCTGGGGCCATCTCCTCAGCAACAACATCCCTGGTGCCAAACGCTGGTACCCACGGCAACAGTGCCGTAACCGCGGCAACAGCATCACCACCGGCAGCATCTCCCTGCTGGGCACCCTGGAGGGGGGGGACCACGGCGCCCCCAAAAGCCGGTGCCCCCAGCCCCTCACCTTGCTGCTGTGCATGACCTGGAGCTCGGTGCCCTGAGGCCACCGTGGTGGCCGGGGCCGCTCGGGGGGGCCCCGCGGGGCCGGCGGCGGCTCTGTCTGCGTGATCCTGCGGGAAGGAGGCAGGATGAGGCGGCGGGCACCGCGGCGGGAGCGCGCGCCCAGCCAGCCCCTGGCCCCTGCAGAAGCCCAAGAGAACGAACCCGGCGGCAGCACCGCGCGCGGCACCGCGGGCTGGCAAAGCAGCCCCGCTCGGGCACAGCCCCGCGCGCCGGCTCCGGCGCTGACGTTACCCGCTCCRGCCGCCTGCGCCTTCCGCACCCAGGAAGCGCACGCGGGGCACAGCACTGTGGGGAGAAGAGAGTCAGCGGYGCAGGGCGGGACGGGGGGACCGGGGCGCGCCAGGGGCACGCAGGGGCCGAGGGGGCAGTGCTGGGCGTGGGGACGCATGCGCGCACCCCAAGGGACGCATGCACAAGCACCCGCGTGGCGCAACGCCTGCCGCAAACACCCGCGCTGCTCCTGCACGGACTCCCGCTGCGCGCCCGCAACTCACCGGTACTGGCACGAGGTGCCCTTGCCGAGCTGGCAGAGGCGCTTGTGGAGGCCGGCGCGGCGCAGGCAGCACAGGGCGAGCAGCAGCGCGAGCAGCAGCAGGGCGCCCAGCAGCAGCCCGGCGGGCAGCGCGCTGCCCCCTGCGAGAGGGCGGCACGTCAGCGCACAAAGCGCCATTGAGCCGGCCGGCCGGCGCGCTCGTCACCTGGCTCCGGCGCCGCGGGGCCGCTGTCCTCGCTGCCGCCGGCGCCGGGGCTGGCGCAGCTCGGGGGTGCCCAGCCGCGCTCGCAGTGGCAGTGCCCGAGGTTGTTGCAGACCTGCGGCAAGGCGGGGACACAGCTCGGGGCCAGCTCGCGGCCAGCCATGCCCTCAAYGTCAGCCCAGCTCACCCCATGGCCGTGGCACTTGTTGTGGCACTGCTCCGTGTCCAGCGCCGCGGCGTCCTGGCACCGGTGCTGCAGGCACACCTGGCAGGGGGGACGCACATCAGGATCCCCCTGCGGAGCCACCCAGGGCACGGTGTCCCCCCGGGGCGGCACTCACCTTGCCGGGGCCGCATGCGGTGCCAGGCAGCACCATGGCCGTGGCAATGCTCACATCATCGCCAGCGGGCACCGGGGTCCCCAGGCAGGTGCCAGGCGCCCTGTCACTGTCACTGCGCTGGCACTGCAGCCGCCCGCAGCCGGCGTCCCTGCAGGGCGGTGGGGTCAGGGGTGCCGTGGGGTGACAAGGCGCCCCGTGTCCRCACGCTGCTCGCTCACCCCTGCGCGCACGCCACGTAGGAGCCGTTGGGGAGCTGCCCGCAGTGCCCGCGCTCATCGCCGCGGCTGTTCAGGGCGGCCATGCAGGAGCTGGAGACGGGGCCAGCGCCTGCGCGGGGAGCCGTGAGCCACGGTGCCACCCTCCGCGCCACGTCCCCGCCGTGCTGCCCTACCTGCGCCCAGCAGCTGCTGGCACTGTCCCTCGAGGCTGGCGCAGGTGCCGGATGCGCAGCGCGCACGCCCGCTGCCGCACGGCTGCCCGTCCTGCAGGAAGGTGTCGGGCGGGCAGCGCGCGGAGCGCCCGTCGCAGAACTCGGGCAGGTCGCACTCGCCCCGCGCCGCGCGGCACGGGGACCCGGCGCCGCGCAGCTGCAAGCGGAGGGGACACCGCGTGAGCCGGGCGCCGCCGCGGCGCCGCCGGCCCCGGGGACGAGCCGCTGCCACCCCGTGCACCTGGCAGTCGTGGCAGCACGCGTCCCCCGTGGCGCACTGGGCTCCGGGCAGCAGCTGGCAGGAGCTGCTGTTGCAGCAGGGGTCGGCGCAGTCCTGCGGGCGGGAGGCGCCGTGAGYRGCRCGCGGGCAGCACGGCGGGCRCCGCGGGCACCCAGGCACGCACCAGCCTGAGGCCGCAGTCGCAGCCCTCGCCGGCCTCCACGAAGCCGTTGCCACAGAGCGAGATGTTCACCAGGCGCGGGAGCTCGGGCACGTTGGAGAGGCACCAGCCGCGGCCCTGGCGCAGGCTGCGCTCCAGGTCCTGCCGGCTGCAGTTGCTGAAGCTGAAGCCGGGCAGGAACCTGGGTGGGGGTGACAGGGAGGTGGCACCGCGCTGCAGGGTTCCCCTTGTCCCTCTCCATCCCCGCGCTCGCCACGCTCACCCCGTGGGCGAGTCCATGATGCAGCTGCGGTCCTGGTAGACGCTGCGGCACTGGCAGCGGCGCCCGGCGCTGTCGTGGCTCATGCCCAGGTTGTGGCCCAGCTGGTGCGCCACCGTGGAGGCCACCACCAGGACACTGACCGAGTGGTCCTGGGGACGGCAGGGGGTCAGCGCTGCGGGCTGGGGGCGGCACAGGGAAGGGGAGGGATGGCACCCACCATGCTGACCCCCCCGGAGCGCTCTGGCGAGCACATGGAGGCCTGCGCCGACATGCCCACGGCCACGTCCTCGAAGCGGGAGCCCCTGCAGAGAGCGGCGCGTTGGGCACCACCGCCTTGGCGGGGGACGAGGGCACCCCYGGGGCTGGCAGGGACGGGGGTCACACTCACGTGAGCAGCTGCGCGTTGTCATGGGGCAGCCGCGGCAGCAGGTCGCGGTGGCGCCAGCGCAGGAAGCGCTCGAGCGCCGCGCGCCCGCTGCTGCCCACGCGCACCAGGTCGCCCTGGCTCCACACCTCCACGGYCAGCAGCGCCACGCGCACCCCCAGCGGCTGGAAGAACTGCAGGCGGGACACGGAGTGGGTCGGGGACGTGGAGCGGGTCAGGGACCCCCGCGTGTCACCGCGGCGGGGCACTGGGGTGGGCGGCGCCAGCTCACCGCGTCCACCTGGTTGGCGATCTCCAGCATGCGGATGCGGACACGCCGCAGGTCACGGTAGTTCTGCCACTGCGGGGGGAGCAGAGCAGGGCGTGAGAGCAGGGACGGAGCCGGGGRGCACGCACGGGGACGGGGCGGGTGGCAGTGCCCCTCACCGCGGCGTGGTCCACCACTATCACCAGCTCCACGAAGCGCTGCTCCTCGGCCGCCCGCTTGCCCTGCGGGGGAGCCCGGGCGGGTCAGGGGGTGCCGAGCGCGGGGACACGGCGGGGGGGCACACRGGGACACCCACCCGCTGCGGCGGCTCCGGCTCCGGCTCCGCGCCGGCTGTGGGCACCAGGCCGCAGGCGCGCGGCGCCAAGCGGCCGTGCCGGGGCGAGCGGTGCGCGAGGTGCCGCCCGGGGGGGCCGCCGGGGGCCGGCTCCAGCCCGTAGCTCCTGTTCTCCGACAGCTGGAGGTGGCCACTGGGGGGGGGCGACACAGGGGTGAGGGGGGACAGTGCGGGGAGGACCCCAGGACCACACGGGGCCGGCGGGGGGACCCCGGTGCCGCGCGGGGGTGCCGCTCACCTGAGGCCGGCGCAGGCGCAGAGGGCGGCGCGGGAGCCGGGGAAGCCCCGCGCGCTCCCGCGGTAGCAGCAATGATCCTGTGGCAGGGAACGGTGCCGGGGGGCCGGTTCGGGCCCTGTGCCAGCACTGTGGCCCCCCCCGCCCCCCGCGGCCCCCCTACCTGCTCGCTGGCCTCCTGCGCCAGCCGCGTGCCGGCCGGCCCGTAGTAGAGCAGCGCAGCGGTGCCCAGCTCCCTGCGGAGAGACGCGCGGCCCCCCCGCCGGCTTAGTGCCCTCCCGGGGCTGCAGTCCCAGCCCGGGCCGCTGCCGCCCCGCTCCGTCCCCGCTCACCAGTTCTGCTCCAGCTCCAGCACCAGCCGCGATCCCTCCAGCTCCAGGGCCAGCAGCAGCGCGGGGGGGAACCCGCCCTGAGAGAGGCCGCGGGTCACGGCGGGACCCCCCGACGCCTGGCCCTGCCGGGGCGGGGACACCCTATTCACGCCACATGGGACCTGTCCCTCCCTCGGCAGCGCATTGTGCTGGGGATGGGGCGGGGGGCCTTGCACGGAGCTGCCCCCCGCCCCGCGCTTCCTGCCCGGTGCAACGCGGCCGGAAACCCTGGAGAGGCTCCCAACGGCCACGGAGGGCCGGGCCCTTCCGCCCCGGCCACGAGGGTGACGGGTGCCAGCTCAGCCTGCGCAGGGTGGGGACCCGGCCAGGGTGCCAGGGAAAGGGGGAGCCGGGGAGGTGAGGGGGGGTCCGGCTGCCCCTGCCCCCTCCCGCCCAGGCTGGAGGCAGGCGGAGGGCGCACGGGGCTGGGGACGCGGTTCCACAGCACGCYGTTCCAGGGGAGCCGCGTGGCCGCGGTGTCACCTGCACAGCCTCTGCCAGGCTCAGGGTCCGGGCGCCCTGCAGGACCCACGGCGTCACGTGCCAGGAGTGTCCCTGCTCTGCATGGRGCCACGCGCCGCTGTCACCTGCACAGGGACACAGCCACTGAGCCCCAGCACTGCTCCCCTYGCGCTGGGGCTGTATCCAGCGAGGAGCCGGCATCTTCCTCGCTGCCTGCTCCCTCATCCGGGCAGGGATCCGGGCGCAGGAGGGGACCTCGGGCTGGGGAAGGGAGCGGGACCCGGCAGGGAGCAGGATTCCCGCGCCCCAGGCTGCCCCCGGAGCATCATGCAAGCTCCGGCCATGGCACCTGCTGGGCAGGGCGGCGCGGATGTGGGCACAGTGCGGATGCAGCCCGGGATGCACCCGCAGCCCCGTCTGGGCGGCACCAGCTCCGGGCGCAACGCTGCCCRGTCCGGCACGACCGGCCCGGCCCGGGGCCGCGCCGCCGGCTCCGGCCCGCCTGACTCACCCGCCCCGCTCCCTCCTCCC